AAGGTGCAAACCCTCAGCAAAGAGCTGTGCCTGCAGGGATAAAAGCTCTGGCAATCCAAGCAGGACTGTGCAGGGGTGTGAGGGCATGTCAAGGCTACTGAGGGCCAGAGCAAGGTCCTGAGTCTCCGTTTAGGTGGTTTGTTTCCCTGAGCATTAACCACAAGGTGGGTTGTGCATTTGGCAGCCCTTGTCTTGTAAGGCTGAGCCAAAAGGAAGGGTTCCATAGCTCCCTTCCCCTTGCCCTGGTTTTGGGCAGACAGAAGACCTGCCTCTTGCCATCTGCACTGGTTTTCCTGGCCATTGCTACATTTTCATCTGTGGGTGGTTGTTGAAACAGAGTGTGGGGGTGGAAAGGAGAGGGAAGGTGCCCCGAAGAAGAGTCCTACAGACCGTATGTGCTACCAGGCCCCTGGGGCGATGCCCTCCACAGGGCAGGGTGGAGGAGCTCTGCTCATTGAACCTTCACCAGTAACCTCTAGGTTTTTAAAGGCAGAAACTGCCTTCTGTTAGTACACGTGCTTTAAAAATGCAAAAAAAAAAAAAAAAGCCCCTCCCAATCTCAACCCAAAGGAGCAACTGAGCCCTTGGTCTGCTCCTTGCTGGTGGAAAGGAGGGAAGAGAGAAAGTGGTTGAGACGTGTCTGGTGTGCTGGATTGCTTTTGGTGGGGAACATGCAGCCATCCTTCCTCTTCACCCTGATGACTCTGCAGCACAACATAGTTGTACTGAAAAAGTGTTTTATGAAGAGAAAAGTAATGTTCAGTGGTAATTTGTACCTTAATTACAAGCTAAAGTCTGCTAAGAGATGGGAATCCCTTCAGATACAAGATAGAGTGTGAAATATTTATGATTTGTACACAGCATAAAATAGGAACCTGGCTATTATTTCATCATAATTTTTCCCCACACTCTCCTAAATTTAAATTGAATTATTTGCTTCTGTCACCTCATATGCTGAGGAAAATTATTAGATCCTAAAGACAAAAAAGCCCATAACATTGGTATTAACATCAACTATACACTGTATAAAAACAACTTTGAGTACAGTATATCTTATAAATAAATTTTAAAATAACAGCCTACTTTGGAGTATATCCTGCAAAATTGCAGATGTTTTTTAAACTCCTAAGCGCCTATGTGAACCACAGTTTTTACAGCTGGTGGCACATAACAGCATGTAAGATTCAGAACACTGTAATCTAACTACAAAGCAGCTATTCATAGACTTACTTGTGCCATTTTGTATTATCTGACCTGATACACTTTAAGGATTCAATATTTGTCCCAATGTTTTGCCTGGAAATACAAAATTCTGAATATTGTTGGTACAGTAAAAATGGCCAGTATGTTGAAAGAAGGTATCATCGTGGGGCAATTGATAGAAAGAGGTTGCATTGAGGCCATGGAGAGTGCAGAAAAATGACGAAGGACAGGAAAATACAATGATAACTTAATCTGAGCAAGCTCTCATTGCAATTGCTGTGATGGATTCAGGTCAAACATAAGCAAGCTGTAACTCTAATTGGAATAATTTAATTCTCAAATGAAGGAAGCCCTTAAGATTATTGAGATTTATGTCAATTTTTATTTGTATCTTATAATAAAACTTTAAAAACAAATAATGGAAGAAATAATCTAGTTAAATAATTAAAAATGTTAGGGCAGGTAAAACAATTTTGATTACAATAAGATGAATAAGGTAGGGCTTTCTGATGATTTTTGTTCCTGTTTTTTTCAGAAGAGAATGTTATTTTTGAAGACATGCTATAAAAAGAAACATGAGGTAAAAAAATTCCCAGAAATGAATCATTAGTTATTGTTTATGCAAGGCTTTGGTCTGAAGGTGTAAACAATAAGGAACGTGCAATATAAAAATTAACAATCCAAATACAGCCTTCCTCCAGTGGGCCATTTATAGACAAGCACCACTATTTTTGAAAAGGTCTGAACTTCATTTGAAGAGTCACAGTATGTATTAAAAACAATCCTAAACAATAGTTTCTGGTGACTTCACCAACATTTCATTCTCTAATTATGTAAGGAAGGCATTTTATGTTAAATTCCTGCAACTGGGTCAGCCCTGGTACCTTAGCATCCCCCACCCACTGGCTTGAGTATGATCTACAGAGGACTTGATCTCTGTCATAGCAATATCAAAATAGATGAACTGTCTGCACCCACCAAAAAAAAAAAAAAAAAAAAAAGAAAAAGAAAAAAGAAAGAAATGCTTACCAAGTCTTCTGTGGTAAAAGGACGGTGATTCTCCTCCACTGAGTAAATTCACTGGAATGGTAGATACTTGCTGATGTGAACTCCTGACAGCTTGGCATACTTGGAAGACACTCCTTGAAGTAAAATATTTCAAAAACAGATATAATGTTGAGGCAGAATTGGGAACAGAAGTGGAGGCTAAACATACATGGAACCAGGAGCTTGCCTGGGTTCAGATGTTCCAGCAAAAGACCCATAAGGAGAAAAGTCCTGGCATGATTCAAAAACATTCTCAGAAAACCAACAGTAGTACAATTTAGGATAGAAAAGTCATATGACCCATTTTAAGAGGAATATTTAGCATTAGTGACTAGTAATTTTTTATTTTCCTCGATGAGGGTGTCTAGCTCATTATTTTTACTATTCTCACCCCAGCATCTAGCACTGACTATGGAGGAGGTCTACTAGTCCACTATGGAATAGGTCTACAAAAGTGACCTCCTGACCACTTACCAGTCATTTCAGAGATCTACTTCTGAGCCCTTGCCTGGGGATGCTGGGTCCCTTCTCTCCCTCCATCTGCAGTGGGGAGCAGCAGTAGGAACTGCCAGAGCCACACAAGGGCACCCAACTGCCGTCTACTGAAGTTGTCTCCAGAAGTCCTTACCATGCTTTGCAGCTGTATTACCTTTGACACCTACAGCAAGTGTGTAAATCCCCCCTTTCTGCTTCTATGATTCTCCCTGTTTTAACTCAGATTCATGGAGAGGTCCATTCCTAAAATTTTCTTTTTTCTTGTCAGAAAATCTGGTCATTATCATGTATTGTTTATAGTAAACATAAAGGCAGTCCAATATCCCAGCCTCTTACAGTTTTCTAGACCTGCCCTTTCTATTTTACTCCATTTTTTGACAATATTTGGTTTATTTATTTATTTATTTATTATTGCCAGAGCAGCATCTAAAACCTTTGTGCTATGGTTTTGATGATGTATTAATAAAGCACTTGAATGGTATTACCAACTTTTCTGTTGATTTTCTAGATACCCATTCAGAGAGTCCATTCTGCCACTGGTCCCACAGCACAGCTCCTCCTGACTATCACCGTGTTGCTGAGAGACTTCTGCTACTCGCTGCTGTGCTCGTCCCCATCTGAGGTATCAGGCACAAGGGGGACCTCTGGGACAGACACTTGCCTAGGCAAGTAGCCTACTTTGACTGTTTTGAAGTTAATATTAAGGCACTGATTCTAGTAGTTAAAGCAATTAAGAGAATTTATATAGTTAAAATATATAGTAATAGTTATATATTAAATATGAAGAAGGGCAGAATATATTATTTTACAGAGAAATTTATTGCTCAAATGTTTTAGAGTATTAAATGAAGATCTGATAGCTTATTCTGTTTTGTTTTTTTTCAGTAGGTTTTCTAAAGGCTTAGTTTCCCTTCCAGCAATTTTCAAACATTGTTCATTGATTCATCTCCCTTAAAAGATCCTATAAAACAGGATGTGATCAGCGTGTGTGAAGCAAACAAAACTTTCAAACATTTTAATTAATTAGTGTTTTGTGTATTTGCCAGATTACGTTTTTGAAATATACTACAAATAGCCTTCTCTACTTCTCTATGACTCTTTTATCACAGCAACAGGGGTGGTGTGAGAAAAATTATTTGGTTGCAAGTTCTTCTCTCTGAACTCAGCTCCACTGAGAGGAAAGGAACACTAAAATCTGAAGGGAACTGATCTTCCATTGACGACAAGGACAAACACCAAACACCTACTCCTAGGCACTATTCTTAGACACCATGATGATGCCTGCTAGGTATAAAAGTCATGAACATCACTTGAAATACAATATTTATAACTTTCTTCTGAATTCTGTTTAAGGTAAAATTTTGGATTCACAAAGTTTAAAAATTCAATTATTGTCATTTCTCTACTCTGCCCACCAAAGTAAACGTGGTAAAATACAACACAGGAAAGGGTAACAGGACGTTTTCATTGCTCATAGAAGATGTGGGACTGAATGTTCAAATCCCTCTGTGAACCTATAGAGCAGGCAGCAAAAAGGCACCAGGACAATTTCCCTAACACCCTGTGAACCTGCTCGGAGGCAGCCAAAGGACCTTGGCTAGTTCACCCTGAGGCCAGGGAAAGTCCAGCTTGCCATCTAAGTGGGAAAACAAAAGCACAAATTCTGGACAAATCTGCTATTGCGTTTATGCTGAGACAGGGTTGAGCCATGGGGAAATAGCAGCCAATCCTGCTATTTCAACTTTTAGCAGAGACAGGGAAACGGCTGGTCATTATGGCCCTGGACTGTGTTTGAACCAGGGATGGGAGATGAAAGGCTCTACATTACAATCCCCCGAAGGAATGTGCTTTCCATTTACGAAATGGCTGCGCAAAAGGGCAGAAAGAATTTCTATCCATTTAAATGCCAGGAAACAGTAGATGCATTTTGCTTTGAAAAACAAAGCAATAGCCCAGGAAAGATCTTGGCCATTGCTCTGTATCTCTGTCTAACTGTGCCCCAGTTCTTTTCCCAGAATTGGTCCACTTCTGTCACACTTCTGTGTTACAGGCTCTCAGATACATTTCTTCCAAATATCAGGAAAAACAGTTTAAATATTTCTATTAGTCATTTTGACTGATTCCAACTGAGAATTTCTTTATAGAAAGAGGAATGAGGAAAATATCCTCCTTTGCTCAATGCCACAAGTATATTTCAGATGACCTTTGTACAAGCAGAGTTTATGGAAGACAAAGGTACTTGTTGCCAGCCTCACCTCCTGAACAAGATGCCACGTGAGGCCGTGGTTTGTGGAGTAGTCCAGTTTCACCTGGTTGTCCATATGAGGTGTAAATGTCTGACCGCAGCCCATCACCAAGTTGAACTGTATCATATAAGAAGCTCCGATCTGCATAGACTGGGTCTCCACATAGCGCATGCTAGAAGCTGACTTTGAATCTCCTGTAAAACTAAGAAATGTAAGGAAAGAGTCAGGATCCATGCCTAAAATAATTCAGAAGGGAACGTTATGAATGGTCCGGGGTTAAATATAGCAATGCTTCTTTCTTTGTTCTGCAGATTGGCACATAGGATAAGACCATGCACAGAAGCATCTTTCCACTGGTACTTCTGCAAATTACCAGGAAAGCCTTGAAGTACCCCAGAGTGTGAAACACTGAATTATTCTGTTAGTTCTTACTATATGCTCTTTGTATTAAGGATCAAGTTAGGATCAAGCAGAGGATAACACACAGAAAAAACCAACAAAAATAAAGTTAATTACCCTGGAGTGTCCATTGCCTAAGGTCATGTCACAGTAACAGCTGTAATTTCATTCAAACACTGGACAGTAAAGATACACTGCATTTAGTTTAAAATATTCTTATTACATAGACTTTTCATTCCATTGGTTTTTCAAGTGATTCTATGTGCAATGCATTCACTGACTTTTCACTGTGTTTCAGAATTAATATTGCCTATCCTCAGCTTCTTTTCTGCAGGATGTACTGATATGAGAGTTGTATTATTCAATGGATTGGAGAAGATAATTTTGTCAGTATTACTGTTTGGAACACACCAAGCCTCATATATGATACAAGGTACCTAGTTATCACATACATAGTAGCACAACATATAGTTTGAAGTTACAAGTTTATTTCAATTTAAATGCAGGTTTTTCTTCTATGCACTATTCAAAAGGAAAAAAAAATAAATTCAAGAGAGGTATAAGGAGGAAATACTAACAACTTAAACTTTGCATCTTGCACACAAGGCTTGAAAATAATGTTTTTAAGAAAGTTCTCATAGAATGAAAATCACCTCCCTCTCCTTAGTTTGAGATGTTTAGTTAGTGTCTTTAGAAGTACTGTAGTCCTTTCAGGTTCAACATTTTCTAAGACTATTCTTAAATGATCTGACATCGCACACATAAACCTAGGCACAACACATCACAGTTACCTAAAGCTCATCTGAACAGAACAAAGGAGTTGAAACTAAACAGTTTGATGAAGTATCTGCCCAGTAGCTGTCTTCCCCAAAGTGATGGAAGAAAAGTGAAGGACTAGTGCTCAGCATAGGTGCGAAGAATTAAATGTTTCATTTTGTCTTTGTCTCCACCAAATTAGAAAAAAATTCTTAAATTCTGATCTTTTTTACTGGAGGCATTCAGGTCACAATTAACACACTTTAAGTTTAGTGTTCATTTTCATGTAATAACTTAGCCACTGGATATTGTACACAGTACATTAAATAAGCATTGTTTTAAAGTCAGAACAGCTCTTTAAAATGGATATTAGAGAAAAGTGAAAAAGGAAGCTAGTGAGGAGATGAAGACAATCTGTGATTCTCCATAAGAAGCTCCTTTAAGGGGAGGAAATCACATTATGGGTTCACTAAGTTCTTTATCATCCACAAATTGCCTCCAGCTGAACAAGGGTAGCATTAAAGGTGGGGGCTCCACCTCACTTGCTGCTTCCTCACTTTCCAGCTCTCCTATGTATGTGGTTAGGGGTATGCTCCTCTGCTGGAATACCAAATGCTTTCTTTGTTTTTTCTGGGAGTCATGCAGCTGGAATATGTTTCCAGATTTTGTAAAAGACAGACTAATGTCCCTGGCATAACAATAATTAACTAAAAAATCTTCAGAAATGAGAATGAAAAGGCTACATTTTTGTATAAATATGTTGCTGTGAGTTGGTTTCTAGCACACATATAATTAGACCTGCGGAGGTGCAGGAACACAATACCCATAGGTGCTCTCAGAACAATCACTCTCCCTCCAAGCACTGCCAACTAATTGGTACTTCTGGGAATGATATCACAGCCAATGTCAGACAATCTGCGCTGCTCCAAACTGCTCTGGGATCCCCAGTTACCACATTTTCAAGGCCAGTACTTTCAGAAATACTGAGAGCCACACGGATGCAGCTGTTTTTGTAAAGCTGCATTGACCAAGAATGTTGACGTGATGGCCAAATGCTCATGCCAGCCCCAGCTCTGCTTCCATCAAAGGCAGGAGATGTTTATGTCTTTTTACATCACATCATACCTACTTTATTAAATAATTCCTAAATGTATTAATATATTTCAATTGGGTTAATTACTTGAAAGGAATTTTCTACATTACAGAGTAATAACTAATCTAAAAGACAAAACATTTTATAAACACAGGTAAACTATCAAGCTGACGTAGGGCAACTGTATTATCTTGCTCTATAGTTCATTATGAGCCAGATTTATAGTCTTCCCTGAGGCTGCTCCAGGGACAGTGGGACACTCTATTGTCAGTTACATTGAGTTAAATCATAATGTCATAATCTGACTGAAGACAGTTTATTTAAATAATGCTATTTTATTTGTGTCCAGATTAATATATAAAAGAAAAAGTTTTAATGTCCTTATCAATACTTAAATACATTTCAACAAGTGGCTGTAAATATTCTGTAACACTCCAGAAGCATGTGGGTCAAAACTTTGCCTGTATATGGATTAATATATATCATCAAACACTTCATTTAAGAACACTTCATTTACTTGCTGTAATAAAGTCTAAGAACCAATCTGCATCATCAAACACTTCATTTAAGAAGTGTTCTGAAGTCCTTTCAGTATACTCAATACACTTGCTGTAATAAAGTCTAAGAACCAATCTGAAAACAAATGTTGACAATTACAATCAAATCAAGTGACTGTTCCAGATATAGACCATTATAAACCACTCAAAAATCACCTCTGCTCAAAACATATGTTTATCACCAAACGTCTCTTTTCTAAATGGAGTCAGATATTGGAAAGAACAACCTCCCTCTTCAACAAAAATAAAAATCCCCCTCATAAGTTTTCCACAATCTTAAGGATAAATATTTCAGATTCTGAGGCAGAAACAGAGGCCTAATAGACAATTAAAGCCAACATGGTGAAAATGGGTCTAGGGATGACACCATGTAAAATGATTTATAGTGTATTTACCATAGTTCTACTAATGAAAAAGCAGTTGTCAGGCTTTTCTCAAGAGGATGGTGTCAGTGCTACTGCAAACTCTGCTCATAGAAAGTCATGAGTTAGCAAATGAGAACCAAATGGACTCACAGCTGGGAAAAGCCAACAATAATTAATTTAACCAGCAGCCATTTGTACAGACTTTGTGTAAGTTTAAAAATTTCCCTTGAGAGAAACAAGGTCAGTAAAGGATAGAGTTCATGTCTTCCAGTGATAATGAAAAATACTTACACGTAAATAGAGAGGAAATATTTCAAAGGCTTTGATTCTTTATTTGATGCATGGCAAGTCTGATGTTTCCGCTATGACTGAGCACTACAAATCCTAGCCAATATATAAGTTGAAGAATTTAGCTTAGCATTTATTATATTGGTTCTGATTTGGAGTCATAAGACGAAAACAGAGGAACCTCTGCGATCTTAAATAACCTACCCCTCCCCATGATAAACTGGTCTTACAAGAACAGAGAGAAAACAATGTCATTAAAGGGCTTTCATTCCAGCTCTTTGATGAAGAAGATGCAAACAGTTTGAGCCCTAACACATTGTTTCATTTTAATGAGCAGCGAGTACCTTCCTTGTCCTTATTAAAGTGGTTAATGGTGCTTCTACTGCCTCATTATCACCACTAGAACATATTCGGTGTTGCTCCTACTGTTAAGCCAACTCCTTTCAGTTTGACAGATGATCAGAAAGTCAAATCAGATTGCTCAGAGATACTTGTTAATAAAATTCCAACAGTGTTTCTCTGAGTGTCCATGGGGACACTAAAATTATTTATATTTTCTTGAGGTTTTCTATAATTACTGTGATTGTACTTTCTCCAAATAAATATATCTATGCCAATTAAAGCCACACTGAGTTTATATTTTGATCAGACTAGCATGAAACTGTTATTTGGTTTTAAACAAAACATAGAGATTAAATTGAGCTTTCCTTGTATTAATTCCAAATTTTACACTTCTGTACTCCAGAATTTATTTTTTGTGAAGCAGGTTAATGCTTTACTAAAAAAGCTTTATTTTACACAATCCTAACAGAATTATCTTTTTCTTTGTTTTTCACTTCTTTTTGTTTTCTCACTTTTTTTTTTGCTTTGGGGCAGGTGATGTTTTCTTGCTTTTGTTTCTGAATACACAGCACATTTTAGGCATAATTGCAATATGTTATAATGCTGATCACAGTGTAAATGACTAAATGGATATAATACCAGACAAAAAAACCTACAAATGGCTAACGTCATTCTACCACCATTCTGCTGCCTTTCCTTTTTGGAGTGTAATCTGGTGGCTATGTAAAAAGATCTGAACATCACTTACAAAATATTCAGAGTCTGTACTTAACAGATTATTTCATAACCTGTATGCCCATATAAACCTGACTGGATTTTAAGTGAAGATTATGAAAACTTTCTAAATTGTTCCTATTAGAATATTTAAATATTTTGTGGGGAAAGAATGCTACATTCAAGGTTCCCACCTGTTTCTAAAAAGAAACCCAGTTCTGTCCAAGCTAAAAACCAGGACACCATCACACAAATCTCTGTGCAATGGGGTGTAAAAACTTACTTATCACAATTAGATTAGCAACTATATTTTTGTCCATAATGTGAGGATGAGACACAATTACTCTGAATAGCTGCTAGAAAGACTCATTTGCAGAACTCACTTGGTTCTTAGCAGGATGAATAGACAAAGAAAACAAAAGTAGAATAGAAATTAATATGTATTTCTCACCAAAGAGTCCAGTCATGTCCGCAGTAGGGCTGAACATTTCCCAGGTAGAATCCCAGAGACTGTGTGACTTCAACTAGGTTGGTGAAGTCCAGACTGATACTATTGAAAAGCACAGAAGTCATGATGATTTCATCGATTGCCCACACATCTTCGCCTTGAGAAGAGTGATATGGTTGCCACCATCTGAACTGAATACCAATCTGTCTTGCATCTTCAGGCAGCTCCACTGAAATTATTCTGGAATACAACAAAAAAATTGTTATTGAAAGTTTAGTTGTTTGTAATATTTGCATGGGGATGTATTTCATGGTTATTTTTTCTTACTGACCCTAAAAATAATGGGTTAAATTTAGCCCACAAATACCTTAGCATCTACTAACAAAGCTTCTACCAGTGACAGGGCAGGGGAATCATTAGTTCTCCTGGTAGTAAATGTATTTTTGAAAGACAGCCATGTGCAAAAGCCACCAATTTTGTAAATTTTGCTGCTACTGTGCAGCACTCTGTAAATTTTACAGTTGCTCTTGCTTGCCAGAAGAAACTTGAATGCCCTCCATCTGAAAACCAGCTGTAGGCCAGGAGCTTAGACTGCCAAAGAGATGATCAGCTGACAAAGATTTACAAATTCTAGCTCCATTTTCTCAAACTCAGTGGATTTTCTACTGATCTGAAGAGGTGCATCTTAACATCTGTGCTTGTTTTTACACAGCACTGACATCACGCCTATGTTGCTCTTGTCCTAGAAGAACCCATGCCTCTAAATTGCCATGTTTAAAGGGGAAAAGGTTCATCTTGTCAGACAATTTGATTATTGGTAGTCTCTGTCTCTTATGGCACACACTTTTCTTCTGTAGCGGTACAGAGATACAACTGGAGGTGAGTCTCAGGCATTTCTCCTGGTACGCAAGGTCACCTGATTTGTCATGGCAGCTATGTCAACAAACCTATAACTGACAAACTGCAAAGAAAATTAAGAGTAATATCTAATTTCCAGGAGCAATTATCATACACAGCAGCAGGGAGCATGCATTAATTGCCACAGCAACGACAACTTCTTGAAAGCTCCATAAATCACCAGGACCATGGTGCCCCATGCAACACACGTGAGCTGTGAAACAGACTGGCATCAGGGACATTTGTCTCCATTGGTGTACTATTACTTGCTGGCAAAAGAGTTTTCGGCAAGCTCATCATGTAGCTGATATTTTTCTTTCTCTCTTAGAGGAAATAATGGATAAAATGACAAATCAGGTAAATTGGAAACAGCATTTTATACTTTAGCACCAAGTTTTTTCCAAATTTAAGGCTTTCTAAGCTGCCTGTTGTAATGTTTTGTTGTGTTTTAATGTATGAAACAGTCTTGTGCCTGCAGTGCTCTTAGTGCAAAATCACACTCTTAAAAATGACTTGCTAAGCTGACCTTGTAAAGAGTAAATTTATAATACTGTTCTTTAATGTCACATTGATTTTAAAGAAGAATACGTTAATCCATTAGCAAGAAAAAATCGAATAGCTTGACTAAACAAGTGGGAAGCACTCAAAAAGTCCTGCTGGCATTTCTAGGAGCTGCTTTCTGCTGGTTGTAGGCTGGAGACAGCAGCATTGAGGGAAAGCCAGAGGTGGTGGCTGCTGTGTCCCTGTGGCAAGGGACCAGCAGTGCACACACTTTATCTACAGCAGATGCATTTCTTTTGCTGCTCAAACATGCTTGAATGACTTCATAACCTTCTAAGAGAAAGACCAAGCCCCACTACTCTCTGGCACTTGAATAAACCACAAGGACTTTCTTGCTAATAAGGATTTCTTAATAAGCAGCAACTCTACAAATTTTTGGGTCAATTTTTAGAGGGACAAATGACACTAAATCGCTACTGGTGCTAAAAGGCACTGATAGTTTTGTCTTCAGTGGTTCAGTAGAGCATACCTGAGGAAAGCCAGAACCCTGGCTAGGAGGAGCGCTGCCTCCAGCGTACACCGTGAGGCACTTGGCACTTGAGTGAGCGAATGCTCTGTTATAATCCTGGGCATATTTATCTGCTGGTGGCTGGCTCTGATGCCTGCATCTTCCCTTTTACTCTTAACTCTCAAAAGCTCACCACATGGACACTAATTCTCACTGACAGTAATTTACAGAAAATCCTAAATCAGGACATACACCACTGACACACCTATTGGGTGTTAAAATATTTAACACATATTAAAATAAATGTCTCATCCCAGGGGATTAAGCAAACACAATTTAAAAACTTTGGTGTAAACCACTGTATATGGCACATAACGTTAGTATGCAGAACCTGACTACATCTCCAGTTATAACAGCTTCTCCTGTCTGGCTTTGATTTGCTGGAGATAGATGGAGAGGGAGGGAGATTCTTGCTAATGATTTTTCTGCTGCAGAAAAGTGTTCCTACTAACATTACCAACTACCATTAGATTTCTTAAAAACCAGCTGGGAGACCTTTGCTCTGATCTCATTCTTTCAAGCTATGCGCATACCTAATATTGAAAAGCCACCGCTGTTCTGCTCAGAAGAAAAATGCATCTGTCAAATGTTAGCAGATTAAATGCACTTTTTCAGCAAAACATTAAATGTGTAATTATTTTTTGTATGACTGAAGATTAATTAAATTTCTGGATACAGATTGATTGCCAAACTTTGCAGCAGTCCATCTATGTTACCAAAAATGCTGATATTTTCAGACAACATAATATGAAAAGGTGAAGCTTGATTCATGTTCTTCATCATAATTATTGCCAGAATTATCTTCAGGTTTGTATGTCTATCATTTTTCTGTCTACGCAGAGTGGAGTACATATATTCCATGGCAAAACCTTTCTAACCTGTGTATGTTGTGCTTAGTTCTCTGCCCTGTCAGAACAACAGAAATTGTTTCATACTTAATCTAAAAAAGCAAAAAAGGTCTCTGGTATCAATATAATTTACTACATTTATATCTTAAACTTCATTAAAATCAGTCACCAGAATGTGTGTTTTCCTTTTTGTTATAAAAATTTCATAGTGCTATATTTTAAAAACCTTTAGGGAAATAAAATTCCTACAGCTGTAATCTTGAATCTAAGAATTAGAAACAGGGCCATATAAAATATATATGTGACTATAATAAAGGATGGGAAAGGAAATTTTGAAGAAGGCTTTTGAGTGTTCCAGTTAGTAGGATCTTTCCTTTGGACACATTTAAAACTTCAGAAATTAAAGACCACATGCAATATACGTCTACAAAATAAAGTAATTCCTCTCAAATCTCTAGTATTTCTTATAGCTCCCAGGAAATATATTTAATGTTACAAGCTTTTTCCTATTAGAATATTCTTAGTCACCTTTTGTATATTGTAATTTTGTATTGAGTTACTAATGAGATAAGGAAATCTATTTTTTTTTTAAATGCTCTGAGCTCAATAAATATAAACAATGAAAGTTATACGTAGCTAAAGTGACTTGCAGATGTGTCTACAGTCCCACCCCGGGAGTTGACTCAGGCCTTATCCTGGAACTGGTTGGAGGGGTAGAGAAGATGACACAGGGCAATACCCAATGCAAAACCACCCTTGGCAGGAACAGACCAGCTGGGATGGGACCTATGATGCCACCATAGGCTCTGCCTCTCGTGTGCCCCCTTGCAGAGCATCTCCTTTCATCGGGATTTATTGGCTCTGCAGCAGCACCCCATGAAGGGGGATACCTCCAGATTTGAGTGGGTTTCTGCAGAGCCAGCCCAGGTTGTTCTGGGCTTGCAGTTCAGGTGTGTTGGTGGAGACTCCTGATTTTACTTCGCTTTATTAAAATTGGTGGATGGTCTCACAAATGTAATAGTAACTAATACCTGCTTCTCTAAATACATCAGATACATTCCTCTCTAATCTGACACCAAACATAAGTGCTGCCAGATGAGAAGAGCCCTTTGTTCAGCATTCATTACTTGCACAATTCCCAGGCAGTCACCAGCAGGTCCTCCCAGGGCACTGCGTCCAGCCCACAGGTACAGCCACAAAGTCATGTAATTCCCTTCATAACGGGAGCAGGCGCAACTTCCCTGCTGACCTGAAAGATCCTCATGGTCAGATTTAATCTCAACTGCTGCCTGCAAACTCCTAATCCCAGAGGATGGTGTAGTGAAGGTATCTATGGCTTCAAAGCTACAAATAATTTATGTAATTTATGTTATTTTTTTCTTTACAAGTGGCGGCTTCCACGGGAAGAGACATGCCCCTATTTCCCACAGGTAATTTCCACTCCTCATCCTGCACTGCCTCAGCTTGTTCTGTCACATCACCTGAGACTCAGATACTGTTAAATCCATGCATTCATTTTTATAGAAGCAGGCAAAAATGGGAAGTTCCCAGAACAGCTGCAAAATTTTAAGGAAAAACAGCAACTTTCAGCATGCAGTAGAAGATCTTCACTCCACTCACTCCCACACCATGTGGGCGGATGTACTTACGGTCTGCATTGCAGTGCCTACCACTACCAGCACTAACTGCAAGTAGATTACTCTCCTTGTAATATTTATGCATATACCTTGGCTCGTGGTAGTTGAGATAAGAATAGTGTTCCAGTAGTTTCCAGGTAATCCCATTGTCGTAGGAGTAGTGCAGCAGCACTCCTTCCCCGGGCTGGTCGGGTGCTTTGCAGGTACTCAGCACTGACTTGCTGCCCAGGCGCAGCGTGAACTGCAGGAACCTGGATAAGAATTACACAAATATTTAGAGGGTACCATTTGCATAGTGTTTGTTTCCTCCTCTTCCTCCCCCCCAATCAGGTTGTTTTCAGATCATCTTAATCTAGACAAATTTTGATAAATACCAGTTATGAGGCTTTGTACGTATGATTTGTTTTTATTGTCGAGTAATGCAATGTGGCACATATAGTTAAAAAATGCCAATCATTACAGCATTTAATTATTTATTAGGCACTGGAGGGGAGGGAGAGATAGTGAATGGATCTAATCAGCTGCCACAAGCTGTCAAATAAACACAACCTTATAAATAATTAATTAGCATTTGGCTTTGACACTCAGGTTTGATATTAACATTTCATATTTTCTATCTGAGCTGTACAATAACTTCCCTCCAGTCTGTTTTGGGCTCTGTTGTTTCCAAAGCAGGAGGAAAAAAGGCAAGGCTATGAAATCACCATTAAAATATGGAACTAGAAGTTTTTTTTAAAAAACCCTTTTTCCTCCTGCTTAAATGACTGGCTTAATAATACACAAGGTTGTGGCTGGAAGGGGAGGGTTTCCCAGTTTCTTTTCCTCATGTTACTGCTCTCTCCCTCTCACCTGGACTGGGAGCTGTCTAGGAAGGAGGTGATAAGCTGGCGCCTCCCATCCTTGTTGAAGACCAGGGCCTTGCCACTGGCCAGGACCCCACAGCCAAAGCTGACCTCAGCCCCCCGGATGGAGTAAAAATTGTGGTAGGAGGAGAGGCGGGAGCTGGCGAAGCTCTCTGAGATGAACACAGGGAAGGTCTGTGATGCCATCTCACATGCTGGCCCTGAAAAGCCGGGGTCACACCTGTGGGTGAGGAAGATTGAACAGCGCAATTAATGTCCCATCCTCTCTGGTTGGTTGACAAACCAATACAGCGGCTACAGTTGTTCATGAATGGAAGATGCCTACAAAGTCCCTCTCAAATCTAAGGATCAAGTATCTCTTTAAACTTTATTTAGGTATTGCATAACCAATGACTTTCTTTTACCTAATACTTACTGTTCCAATTTTAAAAAATCATAGTTATGAACCTCGTACCAATCTACACATAATACAGAAATATTTTTATTCGGTTTTGGACCAAAAATACTGCTGACATAATTTACAGTTGTTCATATGTAAAATGATTAATTTGCTTTTATCTGTAGCATATCAGATGTGATTACAAGAAAGAGAGTAACAGAACAGAATGCCCCATGGATCACACTCTTGTTAATACCTAAAAATAGTTACACTAATATTTTGAATGTGTTTACTGACCTTAAGTAAGTATCTTTACTTTTTAGGCTGGAACATTTTTAACAAGTCAGACTTTCAGAAAAAGTGAAGTGCTGACCTTCTGTCCTTGAGGTCTGTTAGGCTATGGATATTAGAACTATGAAAATTGTCATTCTTTCCCAAAATCTAATATAAAAATGATACAGTCCCAAAACACCTCTAAAACCAGTATAAAGCATTCATCCCTGACGTTGCAGTGTGCTCTGCAGCACATTTTAAGGTGAACTGTAAGTTAGACTCTCTCCCAAAAGAAAATTATAGAAAAAAATTAAATATGCTGCTGTTTAGAAAGATTGATCTTTAGCTCTCCAGTGAGCTTTATGCATTCTGGGGGCTATGCTAGTTTTATATTTAGTCATCTCAAAAAGGAAGGGCTGAAATGAAAATCACTTCAACTTTCAGATCATCAAGTGAACTATGTGACAGAAACTGAATATAAGTGCTGAATTATAACTCTTACTTGCAGCCGTTTCTAGTACACTGTCCTCGCCCTGAGCAGAATTTGAGGCAAGATGGACCAATATAAACTGCAGAGAAAAGAAATCAGTAAAATGAAGGGTTATGTTATGTGATAAAGAGAATATAATGAATACAAGAAAGTATGCAGACCTGATCACACAGTTATTTTATTTAGCTGAATCCCATTAGCTGGAAGAGGTCTACAAAATGATAAAATACATTTGATTGTATCCTTACGTAGAACTGAGTAATGGAATTTTGCTCTGTGTCAAGGATAGCCAGGGATAATTTATTATTTAATTGGTAATATCTATCCATGGTTTCAGACACTAGTGATGTTTTAATTAATGTACTTGGTTTTTCTAAGACTGCAAGTGAAATCAGATCCTTTGCTATACATTGACCATTTTCTTGTCTTTCCATTTATTAATCTTATTTCAGAGATGTAATACAATATACATACCAGTCCATTCCAACAGCAGTCTTGTAGATTATTAAAATGTATTGCTGCTTCTCTCACAGAAATCCACATATTTTACTTGACTGAAATTACTGGCATTAGAATCTGCCCTGATATGTCTTAGGAACTGTTAAATATCATCAAATTTCACTGACTCTTTCAAATGGAATAAAACTCAAAATCATATGCACTCAAAAATAGTCCAGACTTGTTTTACAGTTTTACTTCATCTTCCTCCAATGACTCCTAATTGACAGTGATGATATTTTGTGAAAAATATGAAGGATGCAAAGACGAGTAAATCTCAGTATAATCTAATCTACATTTTATTGCACTACTATAAAGAAAAGCATTAATCTGGATATAGACCAAATGTGACAATCTGGGCGTAGCCCAAAGTGGTAACTTGTGGGCAATATCCTTTCAGTACAATATGATAAACAAGCCTTAACCATGAATTGTGTCATCTTTCTGTTGAAGAATACCTGTTAGTTGGAGTTACCCACTTGCACTGTGGCTTTTGGAATGTCATCCAAATAGCCACCAATTTGAAATCATTTATAACAAGCAGTACTTGTTACCTCTCCTAGTTTTATGACGTTGCCCATTATAGCAGTGTGTCAGTACTTCCTGTTAGCTACTCCCTGTAACTAATTCCCCACCAGACTTCACGTGATTGCTAAATTTTCTCACTTTTCAGGGTGCAAAAATTCTATTCTGTCTGATACATTTGTCTCTTTTGAGGTCTTTTTGAGGGGGTGGTAAAAGTACAAGGGTTAAAGATGTAATGATGTCGTTCAAAATGAAAAAAGCTTTATGAATATTGGCCGTTTTCCAGTGTTTCTAAAAGGTGGCCAGCTTCCAGATTTCATTTAAAACTTAAATCACATAAGAAACAGTTGTGAAGCTAAAAGTCAGAGTGCTGAATCCTTGAAAGTCTTCCTCTCTTCAAGAATTTGAATGGCGTGCCAATATTTACGTCTAAAAAAATCAAAGTGCAAAGCTTCAGTTCCACTAGTATCTAACAAAGGAGGCATGAGAAGCCTCATAAACACATTCATCTTTAAGACTTGATTCCCATGTCACGGTTCTACACCTCAAACAAATTTCAGAGCAGGCAGTTTTTAGGCAGATGGTTGGGAAAGCTGCTTTTGAGATGGTACAGAGTGAAGCATGCAGCATCCTTTGATGAAATTGTATTTCGTTGTACAAGCAAAGGTAGTGCAGATATGTGAATTGTCCAATAATTTTCAAAATTGTGTTGTTTTATTCTGTTGCAAAGAATTTGGATCCTTGTATTGATTTTATCTTACCTTATTTCTGTGAACTTCCGTGAGCATCTCCAACACTTACAGTCTCATTTTGTTAGGCAGCAACTCATCTTTGCAGATATTCACAGACATTTTCTTATGTATATTCACCTAAATTTTCCCTTCATTTTCTTTTTGGTGTAAACCATAATCTCTGAAGACAAGCATGAATACTCTATCCAGAATGTCAAGATGATGCTAATTCCCATTGATGTGATTAAGAGAACAATTTTAACTACTTTGTGTGAAAACTTCCATTTATAGCATTACATTATCAAAGCAGCTTCAATAATTTTCTTTTCAAAACTATGCACTAATCTGTTTTAATAATTTTGCAAAATGTAATTATTTACCATTCACAGGCTCCTTATCAAACCTTACTAGGAATCACTACAAAATTTCAGAGTCTATTGTACGTCACTGTAAATCTTTAAATAATGTACTTCACAAATTTAACAAAACAAATTCTGGATGTAGATTACTTAGTCCCAAAACATCTAAGGCTAATGAGCAAAGCTAAAAAATTTGTACCTTCTCATTGCTAGCCCTTTCAATCATAATTATTTCTGCTTTTCATATCATGTATCTATTTTATCCACTGTTCCTAAATATTTTTTCTGCACTTTAAAGTATTTCCTTTGAAGACTGGCCTCAGTTATCCTCTGCACTAAGTTTAATAATTATACAAATCAAGACAAGCTCCTCCCAGATCTTCACAGCCATTTCAAGAGCAGGTAAGTTAAAAATAATTTCCTAAAAGAAGAATAGTTCCCTGAAACAGATGCTACTTTCCCCTGAAGATATTGTAAACAATGTAAAAGTATTGTCAGTGTTTGGTAGAAGCATTTCTTTATGAAGGTCTTGTATGTCCAGAAGGAAAAACATGTCCCAGATGTGGTAACTGCTGCTTAGGCTGGTGCAGTACATGTCCTTAATAGTGGTATAGTACCTATTTATGTAATTACGACTAAACAGTCAGAGGAAATGTTATATTAATCCCTGTCCACCAATATCTTTTCCTGGAAAGCATTCAATTAAAAGAAAAAAAAAAGGGTAATCTACTAGGCTATTGTCTTTTCAAATAACAGAATTCCCCTCTAGCTTCAAAATGCACCTGTTATCAAGTGCAGATGTGAAGAAAAGGTATTTAACAAACTGAAAATCCTTTGACCTGTGATTCTGGAAAATACATTTACTTGGAGCAGCATATAAAATTGTACTCTTCTGATGTATTGTGATTGTGGATAAGAATACTAACTATTATCGACTGCCCACATATTTCCAAGGATTGGTCCTGTTTGTCTCCATCGAATCCTGGTGTCACTTGTTAATGCCGCATTGGGAAGGGGAATAGTTATTCGGTTCCACCTGAAATACATATAACACAAATACTAACATTTTACACTGAGAACTGTTAAGCAACTGCATGTTTTGCAGATGTGTTTACTTAGACTGGATACTTTATGAGAATTTCTAATTAAAAAATCTGCTCAAATGAAGCAGTGAAGTTACTGAAGCATTAGAAAATATAAATGAAAAAAAGAGAACATAGCCCATGATATTTTCATACAATATATGAATGTTAATTATTACATTATAAAACCTAGCCATTTTTTCCCCCTGTATGAGTGCATGAAGCAACACCACCATCACAGTGAATATCCCTAAATTGCATACTGAATTAAACCTTTCATTAAAACTGAGCTCCGTTTGGTGGAAACCCTTGGGGGTAAGAAGAGGGGCACAGAGGATTTGGCCTGCTGTGGTCTGTGCCATCATTCTCATGTCATCCACAGTGGCTACACTTTCTACACACACCAGGGATAATGGTTCCTATGAAAATGGTACAGAAATGGGGGTCAACAGATTATAGCAATGCTTCAAGCACACTCTCCTGGTCATACCTGCTGCTCTGAAGTGTCTGTCGAAGTTGGGATACAGAGGGACAGAGAATCATAGGATTTGTGCTATGCAACAAAATGTCATGGTTCATTTTATGGCTGGAACAGTAACAAACAGACTTAATAAAGAGAATGGTTGATATAAGTGACAGTAACAGCCAACTCCATCTGCAGAAGTGCAGAGGATGTGCTTCATTGTAACTGAATATTTGGATTCCAAGTGAGTAAAGGTCAGGATGTAAATATGGTTTTCACTGATGGTTCCTCTGACCAAGAAGAAAAGTTTCATGGCTTCAACAAGGTATAACTTTTCTTTTCATTACCAGCATGCTGTCCACAGGTTTGGTTTGTTTGTTTTTTTGGGTTTTTTTTTTTTTTTTTTTTTTTTAATTTTTTTTTTGCATAAAAAAAAA